ATGAATTGGTGCTACGTGAATTGATGCGATCCGAATGGGTGCAACAAGAATTGGTGCTATGTGAACTGGTGCAACACAGGGTTACATCCCTGCCGACCGCCGACCGTATTGCAGCGGACCAGTAGGGCCGACTAGTCGGCGGTCTGCCGACCAGAGGTTGGGGTTGGAGCATAGGGGGGTATAGGGGTGATTTTGGGGGTATTGGAGGGGGTCATGAGGGTGTTGGGGCCGGTTTGGGGGTGTTGGGGGGGTGTATGGGGATATTTGGGGCCGCTATGGGGGTGTTGGTGGTGTTGGTGGTGTTATTAGGGGCTCTGAACCCAATTTTTTTTAATATTTTTTTTACGGGGTACCGACGACCCCCGACCAGTAGGTGCCAACCAGCCGATCGGTCAGCGGGTAGGCAGCTGACCAGTCAAGGGCCGCTGACCGCCGCGGGGTGCAACCCTGGTGCAACGTGAATGGGTGCTACGTGAATTGGTGAGATCTGAATGAGTGCAACGTGAACTGGTGCTGCATTCTACATGCTATGTGAATTGATTCTACAAATTGGTGCAACATGCTCCTCTCTTCTCTCTTTATCATCTCTCTCTCCTCTCTGCTGCGTGCCACACGAACTTGGAGCCTTGTGCTACATTCCACGTGAACTTGGTGGTTCATGCTATACCTGCTTTGAGAACTGGGTGCAACTGCGAATTGGTGCATCTCTTTCCCTCTCTTTCCTTAAACTTGATGCTTCATCATTCATGAACTTTGTGGATTGGTGCTACTGAGCTTGAGACTTGTCTACTTTTGTTAACTTGGACGGCTGTGCCGAAGGCCTGCGCGTTGTTCGATGGTGGCTTTGTCGACATGGCTCTAGCGAGTCTTCCACTCTCTTTTCCATACCTCCAACCGACGCTCCCAGTACCCAAGACCTTCGTGAACTTGGTGCTTCATCATATATTAACTTCGTGGATTGGTGCTACTGAGGTTGAGACCCTCTCTTCTCTCTCCTCGCACCCTCTCTTTCCTTATGTGCTTCGTGAACTTGGTGCTTCATCATTCATGAACTTCTTGGACTGGTGCTACTGCGCTTGAGACTTTGTCTACTTTTGTCAACTTGGACGGCTGTGCCGAAGGCCTGGGCGTTGTTCTGTGGAGGCTTTGTCGACATGGCTGACTCAAGTATGTATTCTACTCTCTTTCCGTACCTCCAACCGAGGCTCGACATGGCTGACTCAAGTATGTATTCTACTCTCTTTCCGTACCTCCAACCGACGCTCCCAGTAACCAAGATCTTCTCACTCATTGCCGTGTCCCCCCACCCGCTTGCTCCCGCCCACGCCACCCATTCGCTGCTGAAAGACCAGTGAACTATTTCTTCTCTTCTTCTCTCCCCCTGTTGACCTTCAAGCCACTTTGTGCGTGTGTGTGTCTATGAGTGTGTGTGTGTGTGTGTGTGTGTGTGTGTGTGTGTGTGTGTGTGTGTGTGTGTGTGTGTGTGTGTGTGAGAGAGAGAGAGAGAGACACGAGCTGCCTTTTTCTTTGTTCTGCTTTGCATTCATTTCTCTTTTTTGCCTCCTCCTGCGCCCGAGATGGTGGCACAATTTCGGTAGAAGAACCGACCCGAGAGAACTCTGCTGGTTCTTTTTCTCTCTCAGAGTTCAGCTTCAAGTCACTGTTTTTACCATTCCTAAGGGTTTACCATTGCTTCCATCGTGATGTGCAATTTGCGTGTGTGTGTGTGAGTGTGTGTGTGCGTGTTTGTGTGTGTGTGTGTGTGTGTGTGTGTGTGTGTGTGTGTGTGTGTGTGTGTGTGTGTGTGTGTGAGAGAGAGAGAGAGAGAGAGGAAGAAGATGGGCGCCTCCTTGAGGATGTCGAAAAGCGAAAAAGACAAAACGACACCTGAGGCGCGTGCGGCATCAAACCAAAAGGAAACGCCCCAAAAGAGAAACAATGACAGCCGCTGACATCATGCACCAGCACATTCCGCCATGACAGGCAGCAAGAGATTTGCATCGGGCGTCTCACAACGGTCATGCAATGGCCACCCGCGATTGCAGCGAAACGCAAACGTAGCAGCCACTTGTGGTGGTGGAGGGTTGCAGGCAAACCAACAGACTCAAGATGAAAATCAGACAGCCAAGGCCCATCTACAGGCCACATCCCATAACCCTTCACTACATTTGAGAGATGTTGCTCACTGAGTTGACTGGATCCGAAAAATTGACAGGCTTGCAGAGCCATGAAAGTATCAGCACAGCTAAAAAGTTTTAAACCACTCCCTGACTGGTCCAGTGCCGATTGTATCTCTTCCATCCAAATACCTAGCACTTGTTCTTCAGCACATGCCTTAAAATTGGAACGATACAGAGAAATTTACCATGGCCCCTGACAGATAAATTGAGAAATGGTGAAGGACACACCGCCAATCATGACCTTGCCATTGTGACAATCGCACACCTTTTTCAGCCTCTGATGCAATCAGTTCAAGGACTCATACCCAACATATACACACCTCACAATTGATCGAGCTGTGTCAGAGAAATCGCATACACACCTTACAATTGTTGTCAGCTCCTCCAGCTGCACCTTCTGGTGCCTCTCGACTTCCTTCTTCAATGAAGTCCAATGCTCGGAGGACAAATTCGTACTCTCAGTGCTGTATTACATTCGATACAGAAGGGCCCAACCGGCAAGGAACTTAGACATTCTAATTCTCTGGGAAGCAGTTATGGGATCAGAACCTCTACTTCCAGCAAACCCACTGAAGCATTTCACAAGAGAAATCAGCCCCACGAACTACATGAGAACATGATCAGACCTCTCTCCGAAGATAACGGTTCTGTCGTTGATGGGCACAAGTTCACAATTGTTAAACCGACAGTACACTGCCCCAGCCTGGCTGAAAAAGAAACTCGTCGCCTAGAAAAATTTCGGTGGCTTGGCCTACCAGACCACGATGGCTGGCAGCACCAGCCAAAAAAAAAGTGCGCTGCTGGCAGTACGGAGAAGCTTGGCGCACAGTAAGGGGGCCTGCAGGCCTGGCTGTACTGGTTCGATTCATAGAATGGATTCAGATTGTATAAATGAAGGGTTATTCCCAGTACCTAAATTAGAAAAACAGAAGCAGGAAGCTGTATTTAAACCACCAGTACCTTCCATAGCACTCTGCCGAAACCTTTTTTTTTTTTTTCCATGGGACGAACCTCTCTGTCTCATGGGAATACAGCAGAAGTGGTCGTGATATGGGGAGCTATTGGTCCTTCAGCACGGGCGACCGGTACTTCTGTGCTGTTTCCCCCCCCCCCCCTCTTTTTTGTTTGTTTTCCCCCTTTTTTATTTTTTATTCCCGTGGTTTTCCTTTTTCCCCATTGGGCACTCTGCTACTGGCAGAGGGACCGCAGAAGGCTTGAATAATCGTTGTCAGTCGAGTGCTCAGCACCAAAAAAAAAAAAAAAACGAGCTGGGGAGTTGGGGACCACGAGGGAGTTGGGGCCTTGCTCCACTACTATCGAAATGCACAAAAGACCAAAAACATGGGGTGTATCTTTCCATGTTCTCAAGGAAGATTCACTCTCAATTCACACATTTCTATAGTAGTGGAGTGAGGCCCTTGTGCTCACACAAGTGCTACTTCGAGGTGCATCTGCCCACAATCATCGCCAGTTTCGTATGATTGTTTGTGTTTTTTTTTGTGTTTTTCAGACTTGGTTGAAGTACCCTGCCAACGAGGCAGGCGCATTCCACGGAAAGCTGACACTTGCAACCGAGGGGGCTCTCTCACCGTTACTCAAGATTCTATATCCATCTGCGTTCACGTCCAGAGAGTAAGAGCCTTTCTTTTTTTTTTTTTTTTTCAAGATTCTGTAACTCCTGTGTTTCCCTGAGGGCTGTAACTGGATTCTCACGTGTACCCAAGATTCTGCATGATTTTTTACTTCTCTTCTTTTTTTTGTTGCTTCTCTGGTCGGTTGTTTCTGTTTTCAAAACGAACGACCACCGAGGCATAGGCGAGGCTGGACCCAGCCTCCCCCAGACCTACCAGCGGCTTCCATGAGTTCAGGCCATTCAAAAACTGTAGCAGGGATAGGTACCGGTGGCTTAACCTAGCCTGTGCATATAGCCGCACCTAACTTTGCCTGTCCCAGGGCTTCGGGAAATTGGCCTCCAGTCTAACAACTTGAATACCAGGAGTTGAGGTCTGCAACAGGCACAAGCACCTAGGTAACTCCATCTTGAAAGCATATATCAAATGCACGAATCAGTAACTCACCACTGCTGGAAGAGCTCCTCTACTCGACAGTGCTTGGCAGCCACTGCCGCACGGGCAACCGAAGCAGATGTCTCCATGCCTTCCTGCCATGTTCCCAGCTCTGAATTGGCAGAGGATGCCATTTCCATCATCCTAGACACTGACGAAGTTGCAAGTTCCGCAGCCTTGTCTGATGCCTGTCTTATTTCCACGACATGATGATGGACCTGCAGGACAAAACCAGGCTTTCCCATGTGAGGACATAGGCAATGCAATTTCCTCCGAGCACATGGAGACCGAAGTACGCTTCCCTCTACACAGCCCAAGAGCTTGTCTCAAGGGAACACAGGGGGAGCAAATCTAAATGAATATGTACTCACCAGCTCCCGCTTTCTGTTCACCATTGCAGATACCATGCTAGCAATATTCTCCATGAACCGCCTCTCCTCTTCCCTACTTTGCTCCTGCCCATTGGATTAACAAAAACACAGTCAATCCAGTCAATTCAATTCAGACAATGTGCACAAAATGCCACAGATTGAATATATAACCTATCCCTGGATAGGCAAACAGAATAGTAACCAATGCCCACCACACGAAAAGTTCTCAAGAGTCAATACCCCAATTCTCTAAGACATCCGCACTCCAAGTTTCAAACAATCATTAAAAGAATGAAGGCCTAATGAGGTTCCCTTACAGACCAAGGCTGGGCTGACACCCAGCCAGTTCAGCTCGCCCTGTCCAACCGGGGCCGGACGGGCCCAGGGGGGGGTGAACTGGAAAGCCGTTTGTTTTTCAATTGCCCAATTTTCATTTATTTATTTATTGGCGAATTCCGACTGCCATCTTTGAGATCTGTTGAGATCCACAATAAAACTTTGACGGTGCAAATTTTTTTTTACGTGATTTACCCAGGGGGGAATTATTGGGGTGGGTTCAGGGAGGTATTGCTTTCAGGTGGAGGGGTAAAGTAAACAAGCTTACTCGTCTGACCCCTCCGTGGCCCAAAAATTTCAACTCAGCACCATTTGGTATCATAGACTATGCCATCAGTTATTGACATGATACCCAATAGGCCGAACGAGACATGGACTATGCCATCAGTTATTGACAGGAGGTCCTTGCCTAAAGTTGCACAACTTCAAGAGTACCGCACTCCACAGCAAAAAAGTTATGGGTTCAGGTTTCAGCTGGTGTAGGCAGAGGGTTTTCTGTTTGTTTTTCTATATACAGTCTGTCCAGATACGCTGACTGCACCAGCCAAAATGCAAACACATCACTTGAGCAAAGCCCAGAGCATAGGGACGTCAGAGAAGGATATAATTTGAGCAAAGCCCCTACTTTTCTCATCCCTGTGGCTCAGGTTGGACAAGAACCAGGACCTGTTAATTATATCTGGTCCATGGTCAATGGCCACACAATGCCAAATTGAAGAACCGGGGCCTAATGGACCCCACATCTTGAAAAAAACGCGCAGTGGTTCTCCTGATCTGTGAAGATCAGCGGCAGAGATCCTCCTCCCATTCTTCTCAAGAAGTGGGGTCCAAAAAGGCCCCGTTTTTTATGTTAAAGACACAGCGGCCTCCATGGATCTGGGCAATCGCAGGGATGCCCATGACTCCCCAGCACCCCCCCCTTCAGCCTGATGCACTGGGTTCGAACATGGGTTTGCCAGGCCGGTCAACTGCCCGGTCCGACTGGCGGGCTCCCGGTTGAGGGAGGGGCCCCGGTTGAATTGGGGACTGAAACAAATATGGTGAGCATTGCACCATTCAGTATACAATAATGAAACAGGCCGTTCCAGCAAAAAAATACCATGCTGTTCCAATTTCTATCTATGGGTTGCACTGGTGATTCTCTCAAACACACCCTCACGCCCTTCCACACACACACATACACACATTAGCAAAAACAAACAAACAAACAAACAAACAAACAAACAAACATAGTTCGGAGTATTTACACGGAAAGAAAATATTCCCGCACCTCAAAGTCAGCCTTCAGGAGCTCGAGTTGCCTTTCTTGTTCAACTTGACGCATCCCAAGGTCTTCTGCACATTGTCTTGCACATTGCTCGATAGCCCTCAGGGCACTTTGCGTCGACATAGCAATGGCCCTGACTGATTCCAAGTTCTTTGCCGATGTCTGCATACAATATAACGACAATGACAATGATTTATGTTTCCATCCATGTGAAACCACTCAGAGTCAACTTCTGAAAACTCCCTAGCCTCGGCCAATGCACTTAATCTGCAGAAATCTGGAGAATACACTCCATACGCCCCTAAGAACAAATCTAGACGCGCTTGATAAGAATTGAAATATATATTGCAAAACACTCAGCCGCATATGAACTCTATAAGTCTTGTGAAACAGGTGAATTATTCAACATCCCTCACTGTTGTATATCACAAGCTGTAAAACATAAAAGTGCCACCTCTCTTCCTTTTGTCAAATCAAGAGCCCCTCTGAAAGAGGCTTGACATGCCCGTCTGAAAGTCATCATGGCTCAATACGCCCCGATGTGCCTCAGGCCCCAAGTTAACCAAACTGGTAGATCGCCCAAGTATGCCCAGTGCAGCACGTTAATAAGGGGCTGATGTGAGTTTGTCCAGAGATTTCCCATGGTGCTGCAGGCCCCAATTTAACCAAACTGGTAGATTGCCCCAGCTATGCGCAGTGCAGCACATTAACTAGGGCCTGATGTGAGTTTGTCCAGAGATCTCCCATGGCTACGAAAGGTCACTTGTCATGTAGTCACCAGTACACCACTTAGCTATCTGCGGTGCAGCACAAGCTAACATGGAGATGCGGTCGGGTTGAGCCCGCCAGGAAGACTTCTTCATCATTGTTTTCATTTTCCACATTTGTGAACCAGCCACTTCACATTGTTTTAATTTTCCACATTTGTGAAACAGCCACTTCCCCCCTTACATACATCGAGTTTGTAATGATAGAGTCACAAATTGAAGGACATTCATTTGTGCACATCATGACAGCCCAACGACAAACCGGGGACAGGTCATGTGACGAGGCAGAGGCAGAGCAGCGAGGCTGGGGGAGAGAGGGAGAGTGAGAGCACACACACACACTCACTGAACTCAACGCAGACTCAACACGACTCGACGAACACAGACACAAAGTGGCAAAAGTCGCAAAGTCGCAGTCGTGAATTCCCGAACACAATGCCGAAGCAAAGTCGCACTGAACACAAGCACTGAGGCTTAAAACTTGGTGCCTGTACTGGGCTTGCGTCCGTACGTAAGTACCAGACTCGAGTACGGTCCTGAGGGCGAAATTGAAAATGCCTCAGGGCCAAATCTGAAAATCGAAAGTCTGAGAGTGGGCGCCAGAATGTCGGATGGCGCCAAGTGTCCGACATCTGAAAGTCCCAAAAGAAGGAATTCGAAAATGGGCACCAGAATACTTGCGGCGCACAGCAGTTGTGCGCGCTGCGTTGCCCGTCGGGCCCAGCGTACGTGCGCGTGCGCGCGCAGTCATGCCCATGTGCGCTGCGCGTGCTCGTGCGGTCGGGCTGGGCCAGGTGCGCTGGATGCGCGGTTCTGTTTTTTTTTT